GAAACCCACATAAAAATAATAAAAAATGTTTTATAAGTGTTTCTGTTTTGTATTAATGTTTTCTTTTTTGCATTTGATAAAAGTAAAATGATTAACTAAATTAACACTGTAACTAATTATAAAACAAACAGACCAAAAACAAACACAGCAATATACAACGGCACTATGTACAGCACAATTCTTATCACAGAAAATTGGATACAGGTCATGATGCTTCACAAACACATACAGGCATCTTGTCAGCAGGTCCACAGAAACTACAAATCACTCACTCCATGCGTAGGGAAAGCTCACAGTAATCTAACTATAACTAAAGCTCACAGACTAAGCAATGCTCATTAAATTACAAAACTCAAAAAACACTGAATCACACTTATGTACATTTAAATAGGTAAAAAAAAAAGTCTACGACAAATGTTTTTAAACTTGATCTTTTAAAACGCAGTGGAGTCTCAATATTTTTGTACCTGTAATTAACATAGCATGAATTATTGCCTTTGAATAAATATCATTAAACATATAATTTTCAAACAACTTTGTAATTAAATATCACATACTCAAGGGAGAAAAAGTACATTATTATGTATTTCTTTAGTCACTTTTTCTACCTTTTAATCAACTGTTTACTGTTCCTTGGTTTATGAGATATATACATAGTATATTAAATACAGATTTGGATTTCTTAATGAGGATCATTTAAAATAAAATTGTTACATTAAAATGATTATTATAAAAAAAATAAATATATCGTATTTTATTTTAGTTTTATTAAATTTTTTCAATAGTGAAAAAAAAATTGGGCTTTATCTGAACATTACTGAACTCCCAAGAGGCAAATTAGTAAGTGAGTACTGAATTCATTTATATCATTTCATATTTTATACAAAGATGATTTTGAACAATTCCCTTAAAAAAAGGACCAATAATGATGATTCTATTGGATAAGAAAATGACTATGAAACTTTTGGAAATGAAATTTCATGGTATATCTGATCACTTAATAACTATAAAATTGCCACTGATCATTTTTTATAAAGATCTTATTAATACATGCCAAGGAACAGTAAACTAAGGGATCAAAAATTAAAACTAATCTGTGAGAATGAAAGATCCTCATGTAGTCGTGCATTTCATGCCAAAAGACAAAGGAAAGTGCCATCAACAAGTACTATCTAAATGGGGTTTGTGGTGCAATAATGGATTATTCAGTTTTCATATTGTTCAATCATGCGGAAGTATACAATTTTTCACTAATATATAGATTTGTTTTTCTCTTGGCTGCTAGAATTAGAAAAATAAAATTAAATATAAGATAATAAATAAAAATACAGAAATGTAAAAATCTATATGATGATTGTGAAGAAAGAACCTTTGATCAATTTTGTGATTTGAAATATACTTATTACATTTATCCATTATCAAACTACATTTTTGAGTTAAAAAATAATCCTAAGATCTGCCCATTAGATTAGCAATAAAACTAATAAAATGATGTATTTTTAACCCAAATTAATGTATTCTTATTTTAGGAACGATGCTGAAATATTTAAAAAAAAAATGTTTGGCCATTTAGAAAAGATTTTACTTTTTTGGAAGTAATCCCATGAGGTTTTATATGTTGATTATATGATACAAATCTTTAAAAAAATTGAGAATCTCACTGTGGAATAATAACAATAATCTCACAGTGGAATTTTACTGAAGAGTTCTAATGGCTGGAAATTATCGATACAACCAAATTGATGAGAAACATTTGATTCTGGAGTAATAGTAATGGAAAGATTTCATTAATTTGGAAAAGTTCCCTTCGGGGAATGGAATAGGTTGGAACAGGTATATTAAAAATATAACGACAACCCTAGTTAAATCATACCATTACCAGGGTGGCTACCAAACAGTTAAAGTAAAATTCCCTGACATTTCCCTATTTAATGATAGTTTTCCCTGACCAATATATCTTAGAACACAAATATTATAACTAAATTTATTTATTTACATAAAAGAAAATCGACTACAAAATGATTTAAGTAAAAAAAAAAAAAAATCAGTCTTTTAAATAAGAAATATAATGTTTTAGATTCACAACAAGATAGAACAAATTCACAACCCACTTTATGAACCTCACACTAATACTTTATGAGGATGAATACAAAGATTCTGCTACCGACACAATACTGTTTTTAAAAAAAAAACAGCAGTGAAGTTGCGAGCATTCTCTTTCAATTCAATGAATGAAATTAAGTTTAGTTGACAGTTTGTGAGAATTATGATGTAGTCAATGTGGTGAAACGCAATTTTTTAAGAAGTTGATGCTCGACTGGAGCCTACATTTTAAGATCGAAAAAAATTCTAATGGACGTTTCTTTATAGACAGAATTATTTTCAGAAGTTCATCACTAAAAAAAATGAATATATCCGTAAATAAATAAATGTAGTATTGGTATGTTTTTCTTTTAAAAAAAGCATGGTTTTAAGTCCATTTTGCTTAAATTGTATTCATTACTCTTGCTCAATTTAAATAGAACGACTAGTGTCGTTAATGACAGTCAAAGGTGGACGAGTATAGCGAATGTGGTCGTTTATAACGACAGAATTTACCCCTTCAAGATCATTAAAAATTATATCAACTGTATATTTATTTCCAATTTGAAAAAAATATTTATGTACAAAAAAAGTTTCCTGACTTTTTCCAGGTCGGTCGTCACCCTGATTATTGCTTTATTGTAAACGATTAGAGGCTCATATATTTGATAATGAAATTTATAATTGTGTATCTACAGACCCAAATTCAATCCTAACATCATAGACAGATAAAAAGATTATTCAGTTATAACATATAAAGTTTAACTATTTAATTTCCAATAACCTAATATAATATTTTTTAAGATGCTAATATGACAAACAATACTTTATTTACTAATTAATATACCATCAAACACATGCATCATAACAAACTATATCAGTAATAGTCTGTAATTGTTATGTGATAAATTAATGCTCACATTAAATGTTACTGAAAAATAAAATAAAATAAAAGCTGTAGAATGACTATTGATCTGATTGATAAATTAATATTGTCAGCATTGTTTGGATCAAAAACTGAGCTGTTATAGAATATATACAATTATCATACCTTTCCGATGATAAATGATTTGCACTAGAATATGTAATAATTGCATTTAAATGGCAAGCTATTGACAATTAAAGCTAATAACAATTAATTTATGAATGTAAAGGTAGCTAGGTCATTTTCTGAAAAAAAAAAAAAAACAAAAGAAAAACCAAAGACTTCTTTTTTCACTTCCATCATAATAATAACTATTGACATAGCTTATAACTAACAACATCCATCAATACTACTGTGCATTATGACAGCCTGCCCAAGGAAAAGAGAAAAATAAATACTGATTTGTACTGACCCACTGGCTGTAAAATAACTGTACATTATGATTAAGCACCACTTGTCACAAAGTAAATTTCATGAGCTAATCGATGAAATGAAATTAGAAAAATATAATTAATTTAAAAATGTTATAATTTAGATTAAGATGAGTTCTTTCAATAAAAGACAGTTACTCACTCATATCAAACATATGCACATATAACATTCATCATTTTAGGAAAAAATATCCAAATGAGGTCTAGCCTCATTACTATATAATGACAATATATAAACAAAAAATAGATAAAGCAAGAGAATGGTATTTTTCAAATGAGCCAAAACTTTTTCATCCAAAAGGGGCCTAAGTCTTCCTGAACGTTTTCATTGAAACAAATAAGTAAGTACATTTCTTATCATTTTATAGTATCATGTATTCCTTTCATATGGTGATGGAACCATATAAACTAGCTGTTAGTAGAAATTTTTGTTTGGAGCAATTTATGGAGAAAAGAATTCTTGGATCCTTCATTGCAACAATGTATCAATATCATATTGCGAAAGTCACTCAGGACTTTTTTTATTCTAAATCAGTACAAATACGATTCAATAAACTCAAAATATACCTTTTATAATGTTTCATGTGATATTATCTTGTTCAACTAATGCAAAAGATAACTTCAGGAAATGTGTTTAATTGGCATCAAGCCAGAAAACTAAAAATTAAATGTGCGATTGAAAATATAGGATTATATTAACTTTTAAGATGGCAGAAATATAGGTTGTATGGAGAATATTCACAGCTACACAATGGGAACACTTTGGGAACTATATTCAGTATTCATATAACTGATTTGATTAAAATGGACTTATGAAGATATACAAATTGAAGTTAACATTAATAATACCTAAACCTTTATCAGCCTATTCTTAAATAAAGGAAAATGTTTATGGGTTAATATTTGTAATGCATTTCTTGACTAGTTTATGAGATTTCACCATAATTTTTCTACTTCATCAAGTTATCCAATTCTAGTTGTGATGAAACCGATATATACTTAGATATCATGACAATGTCTTTTTAACTCTAAGAAATAAATCTCCAAAATGGAATTTTTCTATTTTGAAGTAAAATTAGGATGACAAGTGTGAGAGAATTTTAAAACTTCAAAGACAAGATTCACAAGATTCCATAATACATCTGACTAAAAAGAAATACTTTATAGACCTAATTAATACTATTTTTGGTAAATTAGGAATAGAATTGTATAAATGTCCAAATAAATAAAAAAATCAAAACAACACAATGAATCTCTTATCCAAATGTTTTAAGTACTTAGAAAGCACATATTAATTACAACACTTACAATAAATAAAATGTATTCAAAGTAACTCTTTGTCACGTTACTTGTGGGCTAGGAAAATACTAATAATTAAATAATTATAGGTTCAATTAAAGAGTGAATTAATTAATTTAATTAGGCAAATATTAGCCAAACAAAATTTCAAATGCAGAAAATTATTAAATAAGGAAATACTAGGGCAGGCAGCCAAGTTTTGAGACGTGAACGGTGCCAAGGGTGACGAACCTTTGCGTGCATTCAGAGCAACATGCAGGCACTACCGTGGAGCTGGGTCTCGCTGCTGGAGCGCGAGTCACTACCCTGCTGGCTTGAGGTGCTGTTTGGTGACATGCTATTGGCAGCAGGGGCCACTTCCAACTCTGAACCAGATGACATCTCCGAAGAAACTTTGTCCAGAAGTCGTGCAAATGTCACCTTCTTTTCCAGCTTTGAGTTTATTTCAGCTGCTGATCGACCTGCTAAGGGTTAAACCTTTGTCACATATAACCACTAATTCTAGACTTTACTAGTAAAGAGAGGAATTTTTGTAAATCTTAATAAAATTGTATATACTTGGAATGACCGTTATAATAAAAAAAATTAGCAATAAAAAGTATTTATAAAAAAAAACAAAACAAATTTTAAGAAAAATTGTACTGCATTATATAGTATTCATACTATTTTATATTTTTTTATAACGACTTTGAATTAATATTGAAAACTTAGTTTAGTTTAATTATATTAAAATAATTAGTGAATTAGTATAGATTACTTAGTTTTAATTATTTCAGATATGATGATAGAAAAAAATCATTCTCAGAAAATTAACATGTAATTGAAATCCTGCGGATGTTAGGAAATAGTTTAAAGAGTGAAATAAGGTGAGGGAATTTTATTTTATTTTATATCAATTTAAAAACAAGAAATTAAACAATAATTTATAGAAACTTCAAGATGGAATCAGTAATAAAAATATATTAATAATAGTGGAGAACAAGTGACAAATGTTATCTACCATTGGCCAGATTCGAAAAAATTATTAAATGAATTGATCAAAATAGTAACATTAAAACTATGGTGAGTATCTTTAGAGGTACAGAAAAGACCCAATAATCTAGACAGGAATACAAAAATAAATATTTAAATTTAAGTAACTAATAACTTATTTCAGCGGGTTGTAAATATGAAAATAATTTCAATGGAGAGTTTGATTTAAGCTGTGTTTACACATATGTATCATTAGGTAGCACAAAACTATATTAAGGTGAAACAGTTTATCTGTTTTAGCCTAATCCCCAACAACCTATTTGGCATTCGTATGTTTCATCAAAACATGTGTTGTTAAACTATTCTCAGTTCTAATATTGAAAACTTAGATCTACAGATATGTTATGTAGTGCTGAAAATGTAAAAAGAAAAAGTTTTCTTCCATTCTTTTTAGTGCTTAGTGTTATAGATAAATAACTTTAGAGAGAACCTTTTAGTTTGCACGCGTATTCCATTCACCTTTCATTATTTTAATTATTATCAACTAATTATTGTAAGGATTTTTTTTTTCCTTGTTCTTCCCTACCTTGCTTTTTAGGCTATACTGGGCCGAAGAGTGAGGGTGGGGAATTTAAAATCTCCTCCGGAACCGGGACACAAACTCGTACTTTTTTTTTAATCTCATAACTTCGGTTAGCTGGTTGCTCGGCAACTCACGGTGCTGTGCATACGCATTGGCCCATTTGGTCACTCCGCTCCCTTATTGCAAAGGATTGAAAAAATAAAAGAAATGCAAATGGTATATTTGATAAAGTAGCTGTCTAAGGTTATTTAGAGAGAGAAGATCTGTCCCTCCTTGAGTACAATCTTCTTTTCATCCTAAGCTGTTTTCCAATAAATCTTTTATCACCATTTTTTAATCTTTTGGCATGCTTCTGATGAAAGTGGATATTTTCTCTAAGTAATTGCTACCCAAATGTTCTATTTGTTGCCAGATTTGGACTCTTTGTTGCAAGTAGACAATGACAGGTTTGATACCAACCAATGGAATTCATTAAATGACCACATTTCTGGTGACAGAACTTTTCTTGCCACGTACAAAAAAGAAAATATCATTAATAATTAATATATATATATATATATATATATATATAATAACTGGTTAGGTCTGTCATGCTTCATGAAAAGCTAAAAGAAAATGTATTTTTTAAATATGGAGTCTTCTCATAAACTATGCTGGGTGTTTCTCAAGATCAGTGAGCTGGATCCCTTAAACCTAGACCAGGCCACATACAGAAAGAGTATCCTGATATGCTGAGTTATGTATGGAAGATCAAGATAATGTAAAATGACTCAAATCTAAGTCTACTGAAGAGTTATATGTAGTTCATAAATAGCGAGTCTCCCTCATGTGCTCTATGTTCATCTAATGATCAGCTGTGGTATAGGTAAGAAAGTTGAAACTATTCAATGACAAATCACCTATTAATAAGAGTCCAGGGACCTAATTTCTTGATACATAAAAAAATATATAATTATAGTCCATTTGCCACTTTTCTATCTATTGGGGATAGCAGTTAAATGTTGCTAAAATCTCCTTTAGTGTTATAATAACAACAATAAAAAGTGTGGTCTAAATTGCTTTAGTCGTTTTCTACCTAAAAGCAGCCAAAAAGAATAACAGACATGTGAGAATTAAAAAACATTATTTTGTTTTTAAGACCTACTTATAAAGTTATGACTGAAATAGATATCTGATATGATATAACAATCTATTTAGAACATATCTTATCTTGTTTCAATATTGAAATTTTATGGGGGTTCATGATAAATGTAACAAACATTATTGAAAAAAAGAAAAGCAACCCTTTTTAATTTTGTGAAATAATAATTCATGTCTTGATAATTATTATTTTAGTATAAAGTATTCTAAGAATAATAACACAAATCAAATAAAACAAATTAATAGTATTAAAAAAGTACTGAATTAAAAAAAAAAATTATTTGTTTAATGTCATGAGGCATTTACCTATTTAATTTTCAATAGATTCTTGGGGATGTTTTCATATTCTTCCATTAGAATAATCCTTAATTCCTCAGGTGATTCTAGTAGTGACACTGGATGTCTCTATATGTTTTGGTAACTTATAGTATCTGGACTTGAAACTAAAAATTTAAGCATCTTCCAGATACCATGAAAGGAAAACTGACTGACTTAAGGGTTGCCAATTTCTTTTTTTTTTTTTTTTTATGTACATTAGAAAAGATACATAGTCAATAAAATTGTATATACAAAATGTTAACTTTTGAGCCAATCACAAAATAGAGAATGTTTTGTAAATTAATAATGATACTATAAGCTATGATGCATATTTCAAGCAGTAATTCTTCAGAAAAAAAAGTGCAATAAAACATCAGCAATTAACACAAATGAATAGAATAATTTAAGTAGCAGTGCCATTCAAGCTAAAATTACAGCATGGCATGATTTTATTGCTAAAACTATATTTTAATTTAAAAGTTATCCTGCATGTTTGAGCATCCCAAAAAAAAAATCTTTTTACGATGGAATGTCCATCTGATATTAAAAATAAAAAAAATTAAATGCTAATTGTTGCAGTGTATGTTATAAAGCTAAGTTATTATTTCACATTGATTAATGTGATAAGAGTTTTATGTGTGGACCATTAAATCCAAAACATTTAATTTTCTTTATTAGAAATAACTTTCAGCCATATATAAGCTATTAACCTATGAACATAAACATTACAATTTTATTTATTCTTTTAGAAGAACAGAAAATATAAAAACAATAGTATATGCAATAAGATGTTATGGTGTCCGGGTTTATCCTCATATATTAGAATAAACATCATTTCAAGACAAAATGTAATCGACTAGTTTAATTTTTTACAAATATTGACATTTATAAGTTCCTTATTTAATCCTCTTAAATGTGTAATTATATTATATTAAATTAAATTATATATTAAGATTAATCAGATCACTACTTATATAGTAGTATTTAGGAGTATAATTCACTTATATAGGAGTATAAGGAATCTAATTACAAATTTAAATTCAATCAAAGGAATATGACTTTCATTAGGAAATCCAACTTCCCAGGAGAGCAGTTTAAAAGTTTAATTAAGATGGTCATAAATCCACCATGTGTTTTAAAACTACTTCTAGCAACCATTTATACAGAATGTAAAAATTAACATTACAGTCCAATGGCAATGGTTACAATAGCTATAGCTATTGGGTTGTGAATGTTATCATACTATTGCTATCATACTATTGTTATTGCTATAATTAGCAATAATCAATGAAACATTTCATTTTTTAATATTTATTGTTCCCCTAAATAAATCAATGTTTTTAAACAATAAAGATTTGATAATAGTATTGTATACGGCAGAAACATTAAGTGTTAACAAAGAAAATTAAACAAGTCTAAAGGGTTTAATAATCCATTCTCAAGAAAAACTAATAAGAATAATTAAAACAAATTTATTAAAAATAAAAAATATTAAAAAAGCAACAATAGATAAAAAACTATGAAGTGTTATAAATATTTACAAAGTCTATGGTTTATAAAGGAAACATTTGTGATGTAATAAGATCAGTTAATAAATGTTCAGATTGTAATTGTAATGAAGTGAGTAGTGTGAAGATGTTTAGAACCTTATTGTAATAAGTTGAGTTAAAAAACAAAAGTGGCATAGTAATACCTTGTTAATCCAATATTTAATACTCATAGGATTGAAAATAAAGAATAAAAAAAAGTCCATTTTTCTAATCTAATAATCCAATAAAATTTTAAATACTGAAAAATGAATACTAAATATCTACAATTTAATTGGATTAATGTTTATAATCATTTTAGTTGTTTGGCAAAAAGAAAAAAAGAAAAAGAAGTTTATAATCATATTTATACTAACCATTATCCCAGAAAGTGTCAAACTCTATCTGATGGGTATTGTCATTTCCATCAGTAATTTTATATAAAAAAGAAATATTTCAATAACTGATCAAACTCTGTCTACATATGACATTAGTTAATAAGTTCATTAGATTTAGAAAAAAAAAAAAGTTTAAAACATCTAAATGTCATTTGTTCACATTGTCTGTGGTAAAAATCTTCATAAGGTTATGTACGATCTGGTCCTCACAATTTGGCAGGAGGAGAGGATGCCACAGCAATGGAGTAATGCTGTGATCTGTTCATTACACAAAAAAGTACTCCAGTTGGAGTGCTCAAACTATCGTGGCACATCACTGTTCTAATGCACAGCATACAAACTAGTCTCAAATATCCTTTATAGACTTTACACCATTCACTGAGCATGAAATGGTAGGATACCAGGCAGGATTTCAAGGCAGATCTACTACAGATCAAATTTTTACGATCCTTGAAAAGGGGCATGAATATAAATTGCCAACTCACCATCTCTTCATCGATTTTAAGGGCACTTATGATAGTATCAATGACAGAAACTTTATGAGGTGATGGAGGAATTCAGGATCCCTTTGAAGCTAATTAGACTGATTAAAATGACCATGGAAGATGCACAATGCCAAATTCGTGTTCAGTCAGATTGCTCATCGTAATTTTCTTCTGACATGGGATTGAGGCAAGGGGATGCTCTGACATACCTCGGAGCACAGGTCAATGTAGCAAATGATATGTCTGCTGAAGTATATGTGGAGCAAGCTTATCAAGAGGAAAACAAATACAATAAAGAGGAAAACAAAGGCTGTATAGAACCCTAATAAGGCTAGAACTCACTAACCCACCACAACTTTGGACTCTTGGAAGAGCTATTTCCTTATATTTGAGAGGAAGATCTTAAGAAGAATATTTGATGGGATTCGTGGAGAAGTAGTAAGAATCGGGATCTCTACAATCTGTTTTCCAATGTTGATATCATTAGACTCATTAAGCTTGGGAGACTGAGCTGTGTGGGACATATTGCAAGGATAGGTGAAGTAGAGATCCCAAAGAAAATTTCAAGTGAAATGCTGTATCGCACTAGAAGAGCTGGATGGCAAAGCTATGATGGATGGATGGCATGGAGGCTGACACAAGGAATCTACGTGGGACCAGAACTGACTGCAGAACGGCTGCATAAGATAGAGCCCAATGGCAGAGGATTATTAAGAAGGCCAATACTCACGACGGGTTATAGCATCAAGTAAGTGTTTGTACGGCCATATCAATTGTCTGTCAATTATACAGTGTTGTGGTTGCCTGAGTTCCAACTTAATTAATATAGTACAAGATATTGCTTATAAAGTATCTTATTAAATTTGACACTTAATAAGTCAATAAGATTAAAAGGAGTATATTCCCTCGAAGATTTGTATTAAATGCTTTTCTTCTGTTGACCATGTTAACTTCCTATCAGGATGGACCGATATGGTGCATCCTAATACCTCCTAATATAACCCAGATATTTTCTTAATTATTTTTCATTTCATTAAATAAACATATTCTTGTAAGACTGACAACCAAAATTTTATAGGATAGATTAAAAAGTAATTCATGATTTTTTGAGAATGATATTATGACTTTTAGTTAAAAATATGAATACATAAAAAACTATATTTGGATTGACACTTAATGGGATAATGGCCCATATATTAATAACAACATACTATTTTATTAATTATTTTTAATGTGGAAAAGATGGCAGATAAAATATTTCATCGCGTAGTTTCATTTATATTTTTGCCATGTGAACTAGTGGTTATTTATACTTTTAATATATTAGCAGTTAATTCAAGAACTTGTGTTGTTTAATTATTTTTCTTATTGACTTTTTATGTATCACATCTTTATATGAAATTGCAGGTCTATATTGATCAAGACACCAATGAAAAACAATTATTTTTATTATGATTAATGCATAAACAATAGTGCTCTTATTTTGTTTTTATAGATTATAATATAATGTGTATATCATCCCCATTATTTTTACTCCAACTAGATAAGGAGGAGGGTAATCTACAGGTTTCCAACCTATTCTAATCAGAGAAAGAGCATCAAGATTTATTATCATGGACCGCTACTACTTAATGTTAATCCTCACAGGCTAGCTGAAACTGAAGCAGCACCGGCTTTTGGCTCGAATGCCCCATACTTCTGCTTCACCACACTGTTTTCTGCACAAGAATGAATGTTTTTAAATAATAAATTCTCCTAAGAATAATCTTATACATTTTTATTTGTGACATATATACGATTATATTTGGAGAATAAGGCAAGAATTTATATTTTCTGTAGTTCAACCATAGTGTTTAAAATCAGTCTGGTTGAGGAATTATTCTCATATATGTGAGAATTGTGAAAAACAAGTTAAGCTAAGCAAAAAATAATTTATGATATTAAGATGAATGAATTATAAAATATTTGACTAATGCATATAATATTAAGGTCTAAAAAGAAAAAAAAGTGAATAATTAAGCAGTTAGTAAAAAAGCTAACCAAATAATAGGATTCTGAGAATAATCTGGAGCTTGTATGATGATTGTAGCCTTAAAAAATTATGATTTTGACTTATCAAATTTTTCAGGACCAAAACAGAAGTAAGAATATCAACAGTTCTTAAATTATTTAAAATAGTAATGTTGGTTTATAACAAATAAATTTTAATGTTTTTCTTTTAGATCAAATACTGTAAGAAAGATTTTTGAGGAATGACAGGATTAAGTTAGTAAATAAACAATTCTGAAAGCAATAACCAAGAAATATAAAATATAATCATGATAGAAAATCTAAAGTAGAACTAAAATGATAGTAGCATAAATGAACATCATACAGCAGAAATAGAAAGTATCCGTATAGGTGCCTTTAAGTACCAGAGCCTCAGAGTGGTATACGCCTCAGCTAAGCTAAAAGACAGATTTAGGTAGCTGTTGGCAAAAAATCAAGCTCCATTGGGAGCAAACTAGGAAAGAAACAAACTCTAATTTGTTTCTAGAAGGACCCTATCAAAAGAGAAGTGCATCACTCCTTTTGATGGACAGGAGCAACATTAGGTGGGTGACAGGACTATACATGGATCACTTGACTCAATAAGCACCTCTTTAATCTGAGCTCAACTGAGGCATCTACCTGTACGGTTTGTGGCCTAGAGGGTTAAACTGCCTACCACATTATATGAAAATTTGACGACTGCCTAGATTACGGTATTTCCATTCTGGAAGTGATTATATCACAGACTCCAAGCTCTCTGAATTAATTGATCCCATCAGTTTATTCAAGTTTGTAAAGGCATCTGGCCTGTTTTAACAGAAAATAGGATGACGTACAATAGGTTTCAATAAGACCGTGGTGCATTTACTTTGGGTTAGTAAAAAATTAACTATGCATTAATAATGATTTAGTTAAGATTTAAGTTTAAATTTAAAATTATCATACGGTTACTCATTTCAGGGCCAACCTGAAATACTAAGTTGTAAGGCTAAAGTGGGATGCATTCGACAACTCATGCTCCTACACGAGATGGATACTCCACCCTCAGCGATTCCACCCAGTCTCCCTGATACTCTTCATTGTCTTTCATTATTTTAAGAAAAATGAAAATGTCATCGATTGTTTTGGTGTTGTACAAAAAATATAAAAACAAAATATGGTCAAAAAATGAAAATTTTATTTTTAATTAAGTAAGTTTCATAAAAATAAATGAAGCAGTGTTTGAATGTGATGCATGTAATATTCTAAAAAATTATCAATTATATTTCTTAACGTTAAAAAATAATTTAATGTTTTTAAGTATGACTATGATAAAAAGTTACATCTTTCTATACATCAGAATATCTATGTATAGACTTTTGTATAAAGAAATATTCATATTCAAGATATAGAGGTTCGACTATACTTCAGAACTAGCAAACATATTTATTTGATAGATAGAATTTCAAATATCATAAAAAAAAAAAACTATTAGAATTTAGTTTTATTTGATATATGGAAATTAGTTTCATTAAATTGAAATTTAGTTTAATAGAAAAAAGCTTTTTACTACAACTTTTTATGAAAATATAGAAGATCATCAGATGAGGGTGGGTGGATTTTATATCCTTTTTGGCAGTGGTTATCAAACTCTTTAGATAGTAAATATAGATAACATTGAAATCATAAAAAAAAAAAAAAAAGTTCAAGCCATCCTTACTATTATATTTAATTCTTTAAAGTTTTTCTTATTGAAATAATAAGCCATACCAGTAAATAAAATTGGAATATAAAAAATCACAGGGTTGTAATAAAAGCCAATATTAATGCTTCATCATTGTTTTAATTTTTCATTCAATTTTGATACATTATCATATAGCTTATCTCAATTGTAAATGTAATACACCTTATAATAATATATTTCAATAATACGATAAATGTTAGGAAAGAAATTTAATAAAAAAAACTGTAATTTAATTAAATGGAGCTCATTCGAAACAGAATTCACTGTTGGTTGTGGAAGATTTTATGTGATTCAAGATAAGTCGCCCCCGTTGAAAAATAGTAAATTAAAAGTACCTAACATTACTGCTAATGATCGCTTCAGTGGCAATACCCAGTTTTGACTCTCAACAGTTCTTATTTCACGACAGCATAGGACAAAGGAAGATAGCATATTTATATGATAGATTGTCCTTGTCGTAAACTATGGATCACTCAATATTTTCGTATTTGCAAGAACATGAAGTTATATTAGATGCTAATGGTGCTATTATTAGTTTGAATGTGCTCTCTAAATGCTGGAATGTTATTTTTTAAGGCTGCTGCTAAAGTACTAATCTTTATAGACAGCAACACAAGTTAGGGGGTATTCTTCAGCTTTAGTTCTAACAACTTATCAGCTTCCTACTGTAAATTAATTAAATTTAACAATAAATTATTCAATGAATATTTATACCATGAAGAATTAGTTAAATATATAATATAATAAATATACAAAATGTGCTAGATTAAAGGCAGTGTTCTTAGCAGAACTAGATATTGAAATTAATAATTTATATAGTCATCTTTAAGAGGTATAAAAGTAAAGCAGTATCTAGAAATAGAAAAGACTAACCTGGAGGTGGCGCTGTGAAAGAAGTCTCAGCGCTGCTGGATGTAGATGGCTCCAGGTTGGTCTTGTTGTTTGTAGCCAAGGGTATAGCTTCTTGAGGTGCCTGTGTAGGGGGCGCTGTTACTGGTGACACCAACTGTTGTAAGATCTGTTTCTTTTCTGAAGCACAGCTTTTCTTTACTGGTGTCGAATTGTTACGCTTCTTCCTTGGAGATGGTGTGGCTAAAGAAAAATTATTGGTTAGTACAAAGTTAAAATTTAACTTAAACAGAGTTTCTTTATCAAAATAAAAAGCCAAGACAATAACTAATAGGTAACATTAGTGTGAACCCTACATCGTCATGAACAAAGTGGTTGAACATTATTGGTTTTCAATAATTTTTTTTATTTTTAATTTTATTTTATTGAGATTTACAACTGTATTACATGGAAAATACAATAAGTAAATGTGACATTGGTAACATGACATGTACAGCATGAAGAGAAACTACCCATTGGTAGAACTCAAATTAAAGTTCTATATTAGAAGGTCCCGAGGCCATCTTCTTTTCAGACGCCTCAGAGGATTATCAGGGATCGAGGAGGAAGCAAGGTTTGAAACGAGAGGATTCGGATGGTTATGCAGTTTGTTATGGAAGGATAGATATCTGGATTGGGCCAAATCGGAAATATATGGAACATTAAGGTCTTTATGGATGATTTTATTTGTGACAAAGTAAGGAGCGTTGAGGATTTTACGAAGGATTTTGGATTGTAAGGATTGGATACGAGAGGAATTCGATGGTTTAGTGGAGCCCCAAAGCTCAATTCCATAAGTCCAAATAGGTCTTATTATTGTCATATATATGAGTCGTTTGTAATTGATTGTGAGCTTAGAGCGTTTGTCTAGTAAGTGCTGCAGTAGTTGAAAACGTCTGGCGGTTTCAAGTCGTTTCAGTCTGGTATGGGGGTTCCAAGTGAGTCGTTTGTCAAGGTGGAGTCCTAAGTATCGGATTTGTTTGACAGGGATAAGAGGGCTATTGTTGAAGGATACTGTAGGACAGGAAGTCATAGGTTTACGACGAAGAGTGAAGGTAATTTGATGGAATTTATTTTAATCCTCCAGTTCTGACACCATTTTTCAAGTCTTGTGATGTGTGATTGAAGCGTTTGGGATGCAATAGATGGATCGTTATTAACTGATAGGATACACGTGTCATCGGCATAGGTGGTGATGACAGTGTTGGAGTTTTCAATAAGAGTTAAAAATAAAATCTTGTTCTAGAAAAAAAAAAAAAAACCTAATATAATACAGCTACTTCGATACTTCAGTGTAAATGAATAAATAACCTAATGAAGATAATTATAATTATTATAAATATTAAGATCTTAATTTAACCAATAACTAAATCTGCTTTGTGATACTGGAAATAAATATGATGTAAGCCTATGAACTAGATTAGATTTTAAGCTCAAAAGTATGTTTACATTATAATGTACATTTGGTGTAATGGTAAATCCATGTTGACCATCTTCTCCATAGTGGAATGACAAAATATGTCAATAAGGTATTGTGACTAAAATAAATATTTGTATGTTTTCTATGCCTTCAGATTGAAGATGGACAAGTGCAAATTCAAAGAAAAGTATTATTTAGATAGTAGAATATAAATTATTATAATTTATAAATAAAAATATTAAGACCTGCGAAGACATAACTCATTTTTAAATTGAACTAGCTTAAAATGATAGATAATGTTACTGACCCCAAACATGATTGACTTATAATCAAGAATAGAATAAGTGGCAAAAATGAATGCAGTTGTATGGTTAACCCTATTTTAGGAAAATAACAAAACAAAAGAGTTATGTTATATTATGCCTTTAATGAAGTGTTTCATTTATTCCATGATGGTGGAGGGATGTTTCATAATAATGTGAATTCTAATACAGACATTATTGGAAACTAAATAAAAGTACCATAATGTTTTCATAATAATAAATATTGAATAACTTTTATAATAGAAGAAAATTGTACGTAGCAAGATTCAATTCAGAATTCTAGAATAACAATAAGGGAGAATTATTCATGGTCATTTTAGAATTGAACATATTCATCTCCCATGTATATCAATGCCGTCACTTTGAGATAGTTCAGAAAAATAAATAAATTATTTTATAAAAATCATGATTGTTAATTTCAACATGTTTTTAGTGTTTAATCTGTTTTATAATACGTAACTTCCAAATTGGATTAAAACGCTTTGTGAAACAATTTTCTCAACTTAATGTGAATATTTTTGATTATGATTTAATGATAATGGAAATGCTTAATCTGTTTGATTAACATCAATGCAGTATATAACAAACTATGTAGCATAATAATCTTCTATTACTTCATTTATTAAATATATTTACCGTTAATTTCTTATATCGGATTAATTGAACAGATATTCTCTAGAAATTGAATATGGCTATAATAATAATAATAAATAGCTTAATCTTCATAAATTGACATTATTTTTCAAGATAAAAATAAAACTTTAAATTTGGCCTAGTTAAATGACCTAACGATGTGAAAGTAGATACTGAAAATTTTGCAATATGTTTGGGATAAGAAAAATGAATAAAAAAACCTGAAAATGTGTTAAAATTATTACTCTTAATAAATACAATAAATATATATATAAATAAATGATCTTGTTTAAGGACTGGTAATAAATAAGTATTTACAAAAGAAGGTATAAGAAAACTATAATAACAGGATTATCAAAAAGACATGCACTACACACACACACACAATTAATGCAGTAAAAATTAAAATACTGATCAAAACGCTTAGAAGCAGGGATAGAATGATAGCAAAAGAAAAAGAAGCAACAAATTAAATGTGCCAGAAAGGAAAGTGATGTCACAACATCCAAGGTAGGTATCAATGGATTCCAAGACAGAGATTTTCAGAGGTTGTCTCGCCTTAAAAGTGCTGAAAAAGAAATACAGCTTATTTCAAAAAAATGAAAGTGAGGAAAAAAGAAAATATTAAATTTAAAATTTCAGAAAAATACTTAATAAATTTTTAGAGTTCTATAGAACACAATTAATTTAATTTAGTATTTTTGAAACAAATCTTGAAATTAAGAAAAGATAATATAAATAAACGGTGAGTCAGTATCTTCTTTTGAATTACATTATCTTCTAATGAAGGAACAGTTTCTCCTTATAAAATAATTAAAAGTTATTTTAATGATAGAAAAGTTATCAGCGATAGTAAATAATCTTGGAAAGAACTGTTTTGCCATTTGACTAAACAAAATTTGCAATACATCTTACTAAAACCGTGCCAGATATCTAGCCAAGTCATGAAAGTTCCCATGGAAATTTTTAATCTTGATTGAGCAATTTTTTTCTGTAAAATTTAATATTTTTCCAAATCTCTGCTATAATTGCAATGATTTTTCAATACCAGTAAAATTTCATTTTTATTAGTTATCAGAAATTTTAAAGCCATTTAGACAGACAGTAGAAATGGATTTTTACAATATTTGAAAATATTTTAAATTTTATGTTGTTTTAAGAATTATAAGTCATACTAATACCCTTCTACAACCAACTAGCATATTCATATTGGTGAGCTCAATACCTTATAAGATTTATATAATATTGAGGTTCATTGTTGGGTTATCAGAGCAACTATTTATAACAATACTTTTTAGATGTCACCATCGCACTTTGGTTTATTTTAATTTTTCAAATTTCTTAGAAATATTATTATATTGTAGGAGGTGCTTATTATGAAAATACTGACAATTTTAAGATTACACATTCACATGTGACCTTCATATTGACAGTATTTCTACTTAAAACCTACACTTCCTTTAACCCAATGGTGATCTTGAGTGCCGAAAACTCCAGCATGATAAATTAAATCAAAATGTTAACATGCTATCTCAAAATCAGTTATAATTTAAAAAACTAGGCATAATTTTATAATCACAAAGTAAAAATAAAAAATTAATTCTGGAATTATTAATTATTCAATACATTAATTTGTATTAATAAATATTTTTAATATAAAAATTAATAAAATAACAATAATTAGTTTATTTTTCAATGAATAATCAATGAACTAATAATTATTTAAACGATAATACATAATTATTATAATTTCAATAAAATTTGGCCAACTGTGACTTTTATCTCTAACCAAAGCCCAATTAACATTTACTTGGCCACTATAAGGGAGCAATAGATGGACAGATTAGGTATATCTCTTAACTGCTATCTAGTTTGACAAATTTCCTGATCAAACAAGCACTTAACTTTTTTTTTTTTTAAAAATACACTTACACTCCTTTGTCTTCAGAGTCCTCATTTATAGTCTACAAACAATAAAAATTGAAATGCTTTAAATTTACTTTATTTAAAACAATTTTAAAAATAAATTTTCAAAGGCAATTTTGTAAATTTCTTTTAATTTATAATCCATTTGGCTATTCTAACATCATGAACAAAGTGACTCTTAAATCCAAAATAAAAAAATCTAATACCATACATAAACTTTGTGCCGATTAATATAAGATAGAGAAAATAAAGTCTTCTTTAACAATTTAAAATATAAAAGCTTGATAAATAAACGACTACATAAAGCTGATGTTACAGGAGGTATAGATAAATAAGATGAGGCGAGACAATACAGAAAGGATTTGGAAAAGGAGTTGGAGAGGGAAGGTCTTACTTGGCGGCTTAAGCAAATCGTCCAAGCTAAAAGTCCTGGAAGTAGGGGCTGCCGGGAGGGAGGGCTTGCGAATACCGAGCCGGCCGAGGAGGGAGTTCCGGCTAACTAGAGGCTGAGGCTGTGGTTCTCGGCATCGGAGGCTGGCACATCGGGACCCATTCAAGTCTGCAACAGTCGCACATATGTATGCCAACCTCGTCTACCTTACTAGGCAAGCTTACAAAATCTGCACTGAATGCAACTCTGCACTTGCAATTTCCTACATAAAGCTAATGAAATGGATGGACGTCATGATAAAAACTTTTATAAATGAAGACATTGTGGGTATTAAGATGTTAACATTGTAATATACTTATCAAAAATTAAATAGTTAAAATCACAAATATAAATTTCATGGCAAGTTGAAAATACGGGAAACTGTTAATTTACACTGATTTAATGTTTCAAAATTTTAAAGATAGCAAGATAATATTAGAAATCAGAAAAACCATTTATAAACTGTCTTTTATAACATTTAAAACACTTTAATTCTGATATTATGAATGATAATATTCCATATCTTTCAAAATAATTTTATTTAGCATTAAACACATTGACTACTTATGGTACTTATCAGGATTCTTTTCTAAAAAGCCAATTTAATTTAATCATATTACATTACAAAAAAATCTAATTTTAATATGCAATAATCCTCAAAAAGCACTAGGAATTTCATCGTAGATAGTAACAACTAGTAGATAATATTAGTTAGTGTCTTAGGCAAGAATACTAACTACAAGTTTTCTCATAAGTGGGCAGTCAACATGTTAAATATTATGCATGTGTTTTTTCAGAGCATTAATTGAGCATACTTTGAGCAGCCATGAAAAAACATATTATTCTGCACTATAGATTCTGATAATCTTTGAGATTTATTCTTAAAAATAATCTATTTCAGAAAAAAGAATCCATATAGAAAATTATATTAACATTAAAATTTATAAGTTGGTATTAAATCTTGGTCTGCCATTTATTTAAAAAGAGAATTACATTTCAGAACAATTTATATAACAATGTTAACATACTAAAATTAGAATTGTTTAGAATAACAATGTAAAGTATAGTGCAGAGTTTTCAGCATACCATTGAAGGAGAGGTTGATATGACAGAGAGGAGATACCAATACAATTAATTTTCTTTCAGTCTTAGTTTTCCAAGCCATCTTCACACATGTACAATGGGTTGATTATTAATAAACCGAAAATGACCATTTAGAAGTCCACACTTGAATGTCAGTACGCAATTACAGTTTATATAAAAAAATTGAGGTCATCAGTATCCATGTCTATTAATAAAATTGTAAATAGGAAAATAAAAAAAAATAAAAAAACTATCGCTTCCACCAAATCTGCAATTCTGTTAAGCTTAGAAACTGTCTGTATATTAATGACATAAAGTTGATTACTAACATTACACAAGGCAGGTTAGAGGCAAAAAATATGTTAAAAGAAATCAAATATGGTAATATATTATAAAATTAATTTATTATAGAGCAGAATTAATGGGAGTAGTAAAAAAAGTGAATGATTTTATTTTATTTGAAATCAGCTTTAATTGATATTCAAACCCGATTAAGTTTATTTCACTTAAATAAATAGTCTTTTCTAAATGACTTTTTAAGCAAATTAATCTCATCTAGCCTTTAGGTTAGTATCAGCTTTCAGATAAACAACCTGACACTGAGCTTTGGAATATTGGTAATTTTACACAATTATTAAAAATGAAAATTTTCAGATGTCAAAACAACCTGTTTAGAATGGAAATTTGAAGAAGAGGGTGCTATTTCTTAATGGGCAGTGAGCAGATGGTTCCATAACTTTGAAATAGATGACAGTGTTGAGAAGAAAAAGGTTTATGGATGGAAATCATCATTCCGTTAGTAAAACACAGTGAGACTGATGGGAATGATGAAAAAAAAAAAAAAAAAAAAAAAAAGAATTCTCTAATTTGGAAGAGAAATTTGAATTTCCCAATTCGTCATAAATCATGGGGTGCATAACTAGGAAAAAGTGAATAACTTATATGAAATGACAACTGACAACTCTGAATAGTGACATCAAATTTGTCAAAAACTCGAAAAAGCCCAAATAATCATTATTATATTAAGGGAATTGTTGATCAAAAGTGTTTGAATTATTGATCAAAGCTTTCCCTTCACCCTGTTAACAGTACAAAGTTAGTTTTTTCTGAATAACATCTGTTGGCAAACTATCAATTCTTCAGGAGGTTCAAAAACCTAGATAGTGACGTTCTGAAGAAATCTGACCGAGGCTTTTACAATTTAAATTTAAACTTTATTTTTTAAAGTAACAAGAAAATCAGTAATTTTTTATTTTTATGAATCATCCCATTATTTGGAAACAGTGAACTATTAGAACATATTTTCTATTTTATCTATAGCTGTTTAGTTTTAAACTATAATTTTTTTAAAACAAAGTTTACTGCCAAATCAGTGAAGAAGAGATATAGAGCGAGAACAAATGACAATTCAAAGAGAATAATACAAAAAAAGTTTGCGATTAGTTGGAAGTCTACCTGAATATTACAGTCGTAATCAAAACAGAGTGCTGTCAGGGTTTAGTTTATAATAACATAAATAAAAAGAGAAAACACACTGTACAAATCATTAAAACTCAAATATTGCTAGCAATCATTTACTTAGCAAAAACATGGAGTGCAATCGTGTAAAGCTTCAGTGAAATGTAGTTCAGTCAAATTAAAAAGAGATGCAGATGTGCTCTGTATGTTAACAGTTCTTAAGTGATACCTTTTTTTAATAGTTAAAATGGATATTATTAACAAAAATGAATCTAAATACTTTACTAATGTTTTATGGAGGAATTATGAAAAAACAGAAAATAGTAAAGATGGTAAAACTTGGTTTGAACAACTTCATTTTTATTGTTGTTATTTTTTTTTAATATTAGAAATTACAGCAGAAATATTTTCATTTTATAATGAATCATTATAAAATAAGACCATATCAGGTTGTAAGGTGTTTTTTAAAGATGGCATCTCCTCTCTAAATAACATAAATAAAGTTCTTTAAATATCGTATTATGTAATGAGACTCAAATGATTTAGAATCAAAATTATGTGCTAAATCTAGATAATCAAGCATTCAGATTTAAAATATATAGAAATAAAACATAGTATGCAGATATATAACATACGAAACAGACTTAGAATAGCAACATAAAATAAAAGTAATGTATTTACATATTAAATACAATTGAGACAAAAAATATTTATATGGCTTTATTTTAACCAAAAAAAAAAAAAAAAATATTTTTTTCATTGAATATAAATAAAATGTAGTTCTATAAATTAATGTAAATAAAATATATTTCTAGGTATATAATGTGAAATCAGTCGTGCTTCGAACTGAAATGATAAACAAAGGACTATTCTAAGTAGAATGAAAACATGTACTCACTATTAAAAAACTTCGCTACTGGCTAACACTACCAGAAATAACACAGTATGGTTAAAAATAATGTACCATACAACCAGACATGCATTATACATACAAGGCCTGTTTCGATCATTTTCTTCTGCAAGCAACTTCTCCAGTTTCTCTGGGAAATGACGCTTGGCACACCAGAATAGTCCCAAGATTCCTAAGACTACAGTGACAGTTATGAGGCCCAACCAGAAAGGCTCCTGTAACATGCGTTCTGACAGTGGTTTGTATGGAATGTGCATCATACGCCTCTCACAACGGGGGCCTATAAAAGAATTTAAAAATAACAAAAAAAACAGAGCACATCGAGATATATAATTGAATTATATAAATTTTTCATAACTTAAAAATAATTAATAAGGCTTTCTATAAATCTTAATTGTAACAGTAAAAAATATTGATATTTCGAATAGTTTCTTATCATCCATAATTATATTGTGTCTATTTACATATGTAAGTATATAAATAAAGATATTTTGAATATATTTGTTTCCCTTTTAATCTGCCATAATTTTATTTTAACTAATACATATATAAGCATAATATATATTCATAGATAGCTTTGCCGATGCACTGCCCTGTGGATGGGAACTGGTTTGGCAATTGTGGCACAAGGTCTTCTAACATTCATTGAACGTGAAAGGACCTTCCTGTTAGCTTATTATTTTGAATATATATTTTTTTTCTTATCATCCATTTTATTTTCAACTATTACTATATAAGTACAGGCGATATATACATATACAGGATTTCATAGTTAAGTGGCCAAACTGCAAAAATGAACTAAGGACCTCAAAACAAGAAAAAATTCCTCTGAAGGAATGTCCGCAAACGTTTTGTTTAGGATATCTCCTAAAATCTTTCACACCTAAAGATTTTCGAGTTATTAGCATCTTTTCCTTCATAACTTTTTTATCTGAAATTTCGGGGTGATGTGACTTTTTTCCCACCTGAGGAGGAAATCTTCAAAATGATTGCTCTCCAATTATTAAATATTCGGATTTCATAAAATCAAATGTTAACTAACATTCATCGAGTCCTTAAAAATTGTTGATGAAATGCAGTTTGAATAAATTTCTTTGAAAATGGAATACAAACCTTTGAAATAAAAAAGGAGTAGATGTAGACAAAATTTGTAGGTGGATAAGAATAAAAAGATAATAGGATGAGGTCTTAATGAATAATTAAAGTTTATTAATAACGGAAATATAAACCTTTTTTTATTATTAAAATTATAGGCAATGTTAACTTGAGTTTTAATTAAATAATATACTTTTAAATCCGATCATACCTTCCCACCAAGCATGACAGCGACATTTAAATGCTGTTCTATTAGTCTCAATACATTCTCCTCTTGAATCACATGGGTTAGATGAGCAAGGTTTTTGAAGAATATCACAAGTTCTACCAAGATACCCAGGTTGGCAATGACACTTATACCCAGTTGAGGTAAGTGAACAATCTCCAAACTGACAAGGCTCCGTTTCACAGTATGTCAAACCACAAAGGAAACCTAAAAATGTTTAATGCAAAGAGTAGAAAAAGAAATGTAATTTAAAAATCATAATACTATAATGAATTAAAAAAATAATAATGTATTCTGACGATTTACAAAGAATGTCAGAGAAGGCATGACAAAAATTGGCATGAAAAAGTGGACAGCCCAGGAAGAGATGGTTAAAGGATGTGGATGAAGGCATGAACGTCAGAGGTCTTCAAGGAGATTAGCAAGACCGAAAGAAGTGTCTGGAACTTTTAGGCATGATAAGTGACTATAACATCATATATTTTTAAGATAATATAACATATTATGTTGTAAAAAAAATAGTTACTAAAAAATATTTTTGAGTAAGCTAGATAAAAACTGTAGTGGCAAAAGAAAAAAACTTATAATTATTACGTTTTAAATAAATATTTAAAATGTAGTTTTACTGTTTGCTTTCAGACCGATTTTGGCATGAAATAGAACCGGTTTTCAGTATTCATATTATGAAACAAGGTAAGCATGCCAACAAAATCTTTTCTTCCTTTTCAAAGGATCTTAAATACTATAAAAAAAAAACCTGTACCACTAACAACCTATGAAGGGTCTTGAGTTCAGTACTCATTAGGAAAAGTATTGTTTTAAGGCCAACGGTTGTGCAGGGAGGAGACCAGGGCCAGGATCACACTATACCGCCAGGTTTTCCCTCTTAATCAATTATTTAATTAAGGGAACCCACTTTGTAGAGGCTAGGTGTGCCCCAGGAGGGTCTCCCTACCCCAGTGTCGCCCCACGGCCAATTAAACAGAATTTTTTTTTTCTTACTTTCTTTATTGAACATTAATACATTCTGCCACATTAAAGGGCGTTAATATTAAGACTACATCATTCATTCACACAAGGTGTACATACAAATAATAACTAAGAATTAAACAGAATAAATATTTTTTTCTGCCATGGGCTGGGATTTGAACCTAGGACCTTGAGCATAGGAAGGTTAGTGCTCTACCACTGAGCTACCCCGCTTAAATACTATACATTTAAAAATGTTTCAATATGTCTCAATATCATCATATCTACAAAGCATTTATTTGTCAACATAGTATCATGTAAACACTTTATTGATGAATTGGAATGAAGAATTAAACTAGTGAAAAGGAAATATTTCATTAATCTACAAATGTACTTTTGCATACTTTGCTGGTTGGTTGTCTTCATTATTACCTTATTCTTCTCTTCTAATGCTAAAACAGTAGGCCGAAATTCTGACTGAACGACTACAAAACCCCTTGGTACCACGTTTTTTTGTACCTATATTGCTCTAATGTAAACTCCATCAGTGTTATTATGATTCATTACATGATAATAATAATAATAATAATAACTTGAATAGAGTATTAATAACTCTATAATATCATTAATATTTAGCATTAAGAAGTATTTTTAATTTGTCGTTGTAGTCTAAACAAACACTAAATATGGTAACAATAAATATATTTAATCATACCAGTAAAATGGCCTATACATTGACAGGAATGTTTTCCCACTTGAGAGGGCAAACATTTTCCTCCATTTTGACAAGGATTTGGATGACAACTTTCAACTGGTATCTCTGGATTTTTTAATTTCAGTTTATAACCAGCATCTGAAGAAAAACACTAAGGTATAAGAATTGAATAGGTAATTCACTATAGAAATAAAAGATATTTGTTTAATATTAATGTACTGTAAATTTAGGATTTTAAGACAGTGATGAAGATATATTTTAAATGAAAACAGTCAATCAAAGAGAAGAAATAAGAATATCTACAAAATAAAATATAGAAGAAAACTATGCCTTTCCATTACCCTTTTTTACAGTGACAGTGGCATTGAGCTTCATTCCTCCTACAGTTTCACCGTAGATTTGTTTAACTTTTAAATTGTTGAGATATGATGAAAAGGTAAGTGGCAGTGATGCAAGGCAAACAAGCCATATGCTACCATTATTATCGGCATATGGATCAATTACTTCAATAAGATTTTCACCTGAAGAACATTTATCTCGGGTATTTTCTTCTACTCCTAGAAAAATTCATATTGCAAAAATAAGCATTGATTAAAAAAATTAAAATTAATCTTGAATTACAAACTAGCATTTGATGTTTGGAATTATAATTTACTTTGAATTGTTCAGGAATTAACACTAAGGAAAAAAAAAAAAATGATTTTGATGGCTGAAAGCACAACCAGCAAGCACTTTTTAAAAAAAATGAATTTCACTTCTTCAGATTGAAGTAGTATCTTAGAGAAGTACATTACAGATTAAATAACAATAAACAATAAATTATTCTGAATAATTCATATGATAATAATCAATAATTTATATGAAGGAAAAAATGCAAGCATAGCAAAGCTTATAAGAATTTTTTTTTAAAAGGCTCAAGGTAGACATTGATGTAAGAGATCTAATATTTGTTTTTTAAATTTGGAGGCAAAACTTTTTTAAATTTATTATAAATTATCAAAATTTTATTTTTAATATTTCTAATTAAATATAAATGTCATAATAAATATGATTACATAATGCATACCATTGGTTCTTGGTGGCTCATGAAACTGAAGATGTATAACATATCCAATGGGAGCAATAAGTCGCAAAGTGTAGTTAGTCTGAGGTGGAGGTTCTAAGGGGTAGTTTAGGTGAAGGATGAATCCAACTGTGACATTTGTCATTTGTACTACCCTCTCTTCAATAATGGTACCAACTGAAATATTATAAAGTTTATATTTAAATTATAATTAGATGATTAAAACTAAAACTTTCCAAATGAAATGTTATTCCAGTACTGTGAAATAAAATTTTGCAAATATAAAATCAGTATGGATAAAAAACTTATAGAAAAAACAAATACAATTTAAGTTTATGCATAAAAAACAAAACAAAGTAGTAAAACATAAAGAGAAATAAAATATAAAAATCAATTTTAAATCAAATTAATATATTTTATTAATAACAGATTTTTGAATGGTCATTTTAATTTCATAAAAATATCTGTTAACCCAATATCTACTATTAACTATTAACTATTAACCCAAATATCTGGTCAGAATTGAGATTTAAATACTACAATAAATAAGCCACAATACATAATTCTCATCAGACAGACCTGTTTTATAGGTGGCCCTATAGCCACGACCCTTCGGGCTATCACCAGTTCGCAAAGTGACCTGCATCCTCTCTACAGCTGAAGCAAAACTGCCTTCAGAGAGCAAGCTGCTTGCGGAGTAGGGCACAAGGCGTCCAGCGCCCCCACCTAAGTCAACAACCAGCCCACCCTTAGGCAGATCCCAGTCTTCCACATCCAACCAAACTCTCTTTCCCTCTGTTAAATAGTCATAGTTAAGCCAATTTCTCAGGATAGTTAATGTAATAATAGATATGCACCTCTTAGACACTTACCAGGTGCCAATATTGTAGTGGAACAGTCAAGCCCCGATAGGAGGAAATATGGATAGTTGGGGCTCAGCAGCTCTCCCTGCTTAGCTGTAGTAGTTTGTAATGGACATCCAGTTACATCCACGGCACGCCATTCCAAAGCAAATCCACCACCAGACACTGAATAGTCAGAATGGAAGTGAAGCAGAGCTGAATTTGAAGTTGTTACAACGTGCAGTCTAACAAAACAATAAAAGAAACATCTGAACACATATTTCTATTAACATAGGCTACATTTGCTTAGGTTTATTTTTAAAAGTACAACTGCATACTTAATATCATCTCCATCATGAAACTGGTAATATATTTTTTTTTTACCATGAAAGTCCAACTTAAATCCAGGAACTTTTTATTACATGTTTTTTAGATTATTATAAACCAATAATATAATAAAATTGATTGATTGATCTATATAATCTGTTTAAATATTTCAATATTGAGATAAATGTGAAATATTTATGAAAATGTAATGTAGATATTATAGGAAATAAATTATATATGTATTTGAAAATATATGTTTAAAGTTACTATTTCTGAATATTTAATAAATGAAAATGCATAGATAACATTTTTTCATATTATTTATAAACAAGTAAAACTATGGCAGAATTCTCATATTAAATACATAATATTTTACTTCCTAATACATTCAAAGTATAAGCAATATTATATATAACGTACACAATTAGCAAAGCTACAACATTGAGGGGTAGTTTATTTAAAAGGTAATTAGCTTGTTGTACTGGAAAATATGCTTTCAGTTTAACAGTTAAGCAATAAGATTCAGCTATTCATAAACCTATGTTAACTTAATATTACACTTGCTGAGACATATTGCATTCATGCAAAAGAGCAGGACCAATGGTATGTTGTCCTCTCTCTCATGTGGAGTATAGTAGACATAACTGGATCAAAACTGTAATACTGCTCTGACGATATTAACAACCAAGAAAATTAAAACATGTTCACAAATTGTTTTATTTTTACTAAAAATATCAGATAGTTTCTTTCTATATTATCTGAGATGTCCAAGAGATGATTTCAGGGCTATTATCCTTTGTTGGTCTTTTCATTTGATTTTTATCTTATTTTTTTTTTATAATTTTTTTTTATATCCTTGACCAAAATAACATTCAAGATATTCTTCCATCCTTCTCTATCTAAGACTTGTTCTTATCTGATGCCATGCCCAACCAGGCTTGTGGTCTTCCTGTTTTCTTTCTCCCTTATACTTAAATTTTCATACAGAACTTGGCAATATTTTGTTTCTCTATTAAATAATGTTTGTTTCTACCTCCATCATTTCCCGAACTCTTTCATTTTTTATTTTTTCCCTTCTGAATTTTCTAGCTGATCTTCTCTAAAAGTCCATCTCTACTGTTAACAGTCTTATCCATTTTCTTACAATGATGACCCATGTCTTCGAGGCGTATGTTGTTATTGGCTCAAATATAGCCTTGTATATTAGCCTATTTGTACTGGGTTGTATAATCGAGCTCCAGAAGATACAGTTGAGTATTTCCATGACTTTTCTTCCTTCATCAATTCTCCCATCAACATCATTAGTGAATGTGCCTTCTCTATTAAATATTAATCCTAGATATTAAAATTTCTCTAATGTTTTTATACCTTTTTCAACTGGTGTTTCACCAGATGAAGTTCTAAGGTGCTCTGTTTTCTTAAAGTTAATACTCAACCCAAACTTTGCATATGTCTCGACAACCTTTCTGCACATATAATTGATGTCCTCTCTATCCTGGGCTATGATTATTTGGTCATCAGTAAACAATAGGTTCACAATGTATAAATCTTCCCCAATTCTTATTCTCATTTTATTTTCCACTATCTGAGAGCAATATCAACATAAATTTTAAAAAGGGTAAGCGAAAGGCAGCATCCATGCAAAAGTTCTTTTGAAGTCTGGATAAGTCTCTAACTTATTATCTTAGGCTACAATAGTAATATTTAAATTTTATAAACCCCAATATAACCTTAACGATCTCATAGCAACCATTGCCTCTAAGAGTATAGCTGGAATTAGGCTAGGCTCTTGTGTTTTCTCAAAAACACTAAATTTTAGAGTTTAAAAATGCATGGCCTAGCCTAGTATGTTCCAAAGAAATTTCACCAAATCTTGATTTCAGCATTGATGTCTTTTAAACATAATTTACCTTGTATTGATCCGTCGACTAACCACCATAGGAGTATTAATACCACCTAGTTTTTTTTTTACTTTTACCAAAAATCTAGTACAAATTTAATAAATGAATTTGGGATTTATTTCTTTTCCATGAAATTCCTTCCTTTTCATACCTTCGCTTGTCAAAATCGCATTGTTCTCTAGAGCCTGACAAAGGACTTATAAGTCTTCCATGATTCAGAGGGTAATGGTGTAACTTCATGGGAGGGACAAGCTACACTAGCAAGTATAGTTGGCTTTAGATCCTGTCACGTAATAATTAAGATAAATGAGATGAAAATTTCAGTTAATCTAATTGTCAAACACCTAGTAAAAGTGAAAGGACACAAATATGATAATATATATTAATACATTAATTTTTGCTTGAAAATTTCTTAACACTATGAAACAATGATTTATTATGAGTAGTCATTTTTAAAAACTAAAATTTTGTTTCAATAACAAAATGGTCTCTTCTAATTCTGTTATTTAAAGGAAAATTTCTCTTACAGCTACCTTTGCAGCTGTTCTTTGTCATAGTGGCCACACAGCCTGGTAGGTGGATCGTCGAGGAGAATCCAATCATATAGGCAATCTGGTTGATGCTCCAGATCCATGACCAGGAAGTTCAACACCAGCCTGTGCCCAGGTGGGCCTTCAAGTCTTGACCAGAGTTCAGTTCCGATTGGGTACTGCTCAGGGTAACCAGGTGATGTCAGCCGGCCCTCTGTTCCATTCATGGTCATATTAAGTTCCTTGCTCAATGTCACCCCTACAACAGATCAGAGCTTTGACATTTAAGTATCAAAAGAAGCAGGGAGGACATTTGATGTCCTCAAATAATATAAGTCAGTAATAAAATAATCAAATAAATAAATAGTTGAGCTATATATACATGTATATTGGTCCCAGGACTTTGAAATACTTTTAAGGATGCTTCTTCAGTTTGAGCTACTTTTTTTGTTGTTTTTTTTTCTACTTGTTTACTCTGTTATTTCGTTTTTATATGCCTGCATAAATGTTCCCAATATAGGGTATCTACAATTATACATAACAGACAAAATTAAAGATTAATGCTTTTCTCCGGTAAGGCACTTTTTCATATCATTGGAACTCTCAAAGAAAGATAATTATTATGACCTACCCATAACAATTTCTATGATATTTGCTAAAACAAAATCTTCAAATGGTGATTTTTCAAGTTTTTAAAACTCAAATTGAAGCTGACAGAATGTACTACAAAGTAGTTTATGATGATTATCTCAGAAGGAATAGCGATTTCATTGATATTTGCTAAAATAAAATCCAAAAATTGGTTATTTATCGTAGTTTAAAAAACATATTTTTTAAAGGCCATTTCTCTTGAACTATTGAATGTGAAGAGCTGTATCAGGACTCAAATTAAAGCTGATAGAATGCACTACAAAAAAGTTTGGAATTGTTTTTTAATCAGAATAGCTGTATCCTTGATATTTGCTAAATAAAATTTAAAATGGCAATTTTTTGTAAACTTTTCAACCTAAAGAGCTCTAATAGGGCTAAAATTGAAGCTGATAGAATGCATTACTACAAAATATTTTATGATGAATATCTCACTGAGAATAGCTGCTTCCTTGGTGTTTGAAAAAGTGTATTACTGGACAAAATAGGTTTCCCCCTTTCAGTGGCCACCATTTTGAAACATCCTCGTTTCGAGTTAACAGACTAATGCAAATTGAATGCTGAGGATAGAGGTTATAATGGTATATTACTAAAAGAATCCTTCAAATAGGTAACATAATTCCAACTCCTGTCTTGATTTTATGGTTTAGAGTTAATCAAGGAGCTTCTGTATCCAGTTCCTTTTCAGCCTTCCAAGAGTGTTGTTTTGAGAAAATTTCAATGAATATATTATTTACTCCCAATATTTATATTGAGAATAAAAAGTGTTAAAACCAATGATTTGAAACAACAGAAAACTTGTTTATCATATCTTTTAAATCAGAGGTATATATTTCAACTTAATTATTCATTATTTTAATTGAAATTGAAATAAATATAATGGAACATTTCATAATTATGATATAGAAGAATAAATTGATTTTTCTGAAGCTCAACAACCTATTGATTATTGAAATGATAATACCTTTATTATTCTGGAAATAGTGTCCCTTAAAAAAAAATTATAAATGTAGAATATAAATAAACATGCTAGTGTATCAATAACTTAAATTAAATATTTACAAAATGATTGATAATATATAGAAAAAATACAGATAATATTAATAAATAAAAAAACATACATAAATATAAAATGAACAGAATAGTATCTGGGGGGTACTTAAAGTCTTACAACTTAGACTCTTACACGCATCATGATCAAGCGGATTGGGAATGGAATATATGATTAAAGAGGGAAGATTTGAAAGATTTGAGGGAATTGACTTTGTATGTCGAATATCGGGACGGATAGAATTCCAGAGGGAAATGGCTTGAATTACAAATGATTTGTCAAACGCAGAAGTTTGGTGAGGAGAAGGAGGATAGAGATTGGACGTATGGGATCTGGTAGGACGGAATTGAAAGCAGGAATTTAATTATAGACTCTGTAGAATATAGGAGGGTCGGTGAGATAGCTTGATATAGGATGGTAGCAAGGAAGTACTGACAGCGATAGGATAATGGGTAATATGCGTATCTCTTGAGAACCCAAAAACAAATTGAGCAATTCAGTAGATGTTTAAGTTTGACCTTGAGTTCTCCTAAGAGTCTGTCATACTCCACACAGCCATGCTTAAAAAAAAAAGTTGGGGAAAACAAGAGAGGAAATAAGGAGTTGACGGGTTCTGAATGGATGGATATAGCATAGACAGTTGAACTGTTTCAAGGTGAAAATAGTACGGCAGGAAATTTGGAAGATATGTGGTTCCAGGAAAGCGTTTGATCAAATGTAACACCAAGGTTTTTAATGGTGGTGTGGAAGGAGATAGTCGAATTTCTCAGAAGATTGAGAGGTACACTGTTATTAAAAAAAACTTTGTAGGACCATCCTTATTTAATTGAAAATATTAAAATATTTTTAATTTATTAAATACATGCATTAATTGTACCTTGATTTTTCTTTTTGCATACATATCCTCCAACCATATCACATGGCTGTGAAGACCAGTAAAGGCCAGATGAGAGGTCTGCACTGGGAGATTTCTTGTATTGCAAACCAAGGCACAGCTCATCTTCATGAGGTGTTTCATCATTAGTATTAGCCCAACCTGCAAAATAAATAGAGAAATTGATCAGAACTATGAATTCTATCGTTAGCTTAAAATGACATTCCTAATAATTATCTTGCCTCGATGATGAAGAAGATTAAGATACACTTTGTAGATGGAAAATAGCAATGTTGACAACCAAGCTCTTAGATGGACCCACTACAAGCACTCAGGGCATATACAAACCAAAGAGATTTTTTTCAATTGAGGTAGGGGCTTTACTGAAACTTGGTTAATTTTAGATACTTTTGGGATTCCATATAATGTGGTCTGGACAAGAAGTTTTGATCAACAACTGTTATGATAGTTTTCCACTAATATTAAGGTTAATTAATAAATAAAGATGATATTATTATCATTTATATTCTTTATTATATATTTATATATTACAAAGCAATAGAATATAACAGAATTTCACTTTTCTTATTATTTTAATGGGAAAAATGGCAATTATTCACTTCACAATTAATTAGTCCCAGAAAACATGACAAATCTTAACTACCTTCATCTTAATAAGGCTTTGATTTGGATCAAGAGAAAATTTAATTTGTCCCACTTTTACTAGGGATTATCAACATGAAAAGTCAGTTCTACACCAAGTAGGTTACCAGAATTCCTAATCTCAAGATCTGATCAATTAAAATGTTGATTCACAACTACAGTATTTCAATTAGGGCATAATATAATGTTAACAGTATTGGTACATTTAATATTATTATTAGCTCAACCAAACGTCTGGGATGGACCGGATAAAAAAATATAGATTGTTAGGTTGTTGCAAGAAGTCCATTAAGTACAATTTTGATGGAACTGAACTCTTAAGATCATCTTTTGAGGATTTTGACCTTATTTATCGATAAAAAATACAGTAAGTGCACTAACCCTTTTATATTTCAAATATAGTTGCAACAAGCTCACAATGTTTAGATTTCACAAAGGGAAAATTCATGAAAGTTCTAAGTGATTTAAAGTTATCAAATGTCGCTTAATGACTTTTTGCAATAAACCGACGATTTGTATATAACTTTCTTAGTCTAGTACTATAAATTACAATTTGTGGTCAGCGAGAACTTTGGTAGTAGTCTTCAGCAGGATGCAGTGAAGGGTTTGAATGTAAGGGTGAAACAAAAAATTTAACAAATTTGAGTTTCTTGAAATTTTCACAAGTAATTGCACCATAAAAGTGTCTCAAAATACATGTCTATCCTATTCTAATTTTCAAATATTTTCAGGGAAGTCGCCTTTTCTCGCCAGGAGGAGAGAGTATTCCTTACAGCCAAGAATAAAACCTCTCAATATTACATATAATTACTTAGTACCCTAACAGTCCAACAGCAATAAGATAAATAAAACATTACAATTGCCAGAACTACATTTTATTGCAAAGTAGAATACAATTAAAATCTCTCGATTTACTAAATCTATCTAACAGAAAGAAAGCATGCTTCACAAAATAATAATATATGTACAAAAAAATTACTCTTATTACCAATCAAACAAATAAAGTCAAGTAAAAGCTTTAGTTCATCAGCAATATAAAAAGGCGTACAGTGGCTTAATAATTAATATTATTTAGTCACTATAACAAGGAGCGAGCGCGAGAGCTATGAACTCAGTGTTGCCGAGATTACCACAAAATTATGAATTCATTAACTTGAAAATACCAGTTTTCACCTACTAATATCCGGCAATGATATAATAAATACCTGTTTTCGGTGAATCTCTTTTTTAAAATACAATTTCATTACTCTAAAGTAATTTCGAGCAAACGCATCATTTATTTGTAATTAATTTCTTCATGCAGTTAATTTAAGTACATAAATTAAGATATACATACCTCGACCTACTGAGCTAAGAAATATTGGGTGTAATAGGAATAGAATGAAAGAGCGGGGGCGGCCTTTAATTTATGGTCAAGGTATACATGATGGATGGTGGACAGATAAGACATACAGTGATTTATAGTGGTGTTGGATCTAGGATTTCATACAATGGGAAACTTGATATTGCAGACCCTCTTTATTTAGTCGCCCAAGAAAAGGCCTCATTTGGTTTGGTTCTCCTAGTCCCAGCTGTGATTTATGTTGCTGCCACGTTAATCTGTTCCGACCACAGGCGAATTTACGGGGGAGGGAGGAGCTTTCGGGCTGAAGTCCCCCTCCCCCCAAAATGGTAAAATGTAACCTTGTTTTATGGTAAAAAATATTAAAAAATTATGTCTTAAAGTATTTTGCTCGTTTAATTACATTTAATAGGACTTCAAAAATCACTTGAACACCATTTCATATAAGTAGTATCTTTCTGTTTTCTCAAAGCAATTATCGATATATATATATATATATATATATATATATATATATATATATATATATATATATATATATATATATATATATATGAAAAAAAAGCTTCCGGGCTGAGGCCCTCCCCCAAAAATAAATCCTGGATCCGCTAGTGGTCCCGACGGTTTTCGTCGATCACCAAAATGTATCAGTCGCTCAATAAAAGGTCCAATGTACCTCATGGCCATTACTTTTGGATGATGTCAATGAAACCTGATTAAATAGTCACAAAAATAACCGTAGAAACAGTAGGAAATAAGTGAAAAAGTGGTTATTTTTAAATACGTATATTTTACAAAAACGAACAGGATTAAACTTGTTTCCTTAAAATAAATAATTACTTTAATTAATCAGTTATAAAATATTTCTATTTCTTATTTATTTAAACAAATTTCAGAGTACATAATATTTATTAAGATATAATGATTAAACAATTAGGACATTCACATTAGTCAAAATGATTCCACAGATAACGTACTTAAGTCCTTTTACGCGAATTACCTTATTTTTTCAGTTATCCGAATTCGATTAATAATCTTCTAATCGGATTAATCAGATTTCTAGACAAGTTAGATATTTCTATTATTATCATTAACAAATTCTTTACTTATTCCAAGACATGCCCCGAATTTAATACTATTCGCGCTTCTTTCCCATAGGTGATCACGATTTACCAGCTTGGTGTATGCCCCATGTTCTAAGAAATTGTTATTGCTCATCTCTTTTTAAAAACGATGCAAGCGGAAGTAACATTGGCTCAGAATTTCCATTTTGATTGGGGAGGGGATGATGGATTTCCCCTAAGAAGTTTCGGAAATTTATATTATGTATAAAAAATATGAGGGATAATTAACATAATCAAAGTGATAATTGTAAAACGAACAATAAAATACTATATATAAAAATAAATTTATGTATATATCTATATATATTATTTTTTAAATTTATTTTTTACGTACAGATATATTTGAAAATATGTTAACAAAACGATTGTATATATTACATATTTTTATCTTTATTTTAACGATCGAGGCAGCGGGATGAACTCTTAATAATTATTATCGGATGCTTCAATTTCGTTGCGAGAAAAGTGATAAAATAGTCACGTAAAAATTGAAGGTTGCTCATGAATGAATCATAAAATCCTAGGATATGTTGCTACATATTATTATTTTTGAATATAAACTTAAATTTTAATAATAGAAACATGGTGAAATACTTGCATATCTACTTCTAGGCCCAAATTTAGTCATAAAGTCGACTTTTTCTACTTCCTTAATTTATTTTAGTTTGCATATTTTATTCATTTATGTAGATTAATTATTATTGATTGTGATTTTACTTTTGTTTATCTCTAATTATTGGAGGCTCGCCCCCAGCCAGTAAGTGTATTAAAAATTATTCCCCTGTTCAAAATTCAGTATTCAAAGGTTGGTACTTAATTTTTAAAATAATTACTAGTAGCATATTTATATATGTTTCTTAATGTGAAAATAATTTAAAGTATAGTTTGTTTTTAATTACTGATACTATTTTAATGTTTCAGTTATGATAAATAATTATTAGATATAAATTGTGTTAGCAGTGTTCTTGAGCTTTGGAGGCAATTTCAGTTACAAACCACCATATTTTTTTTATAACTTCTACCATCCACTGCCCTGCTCCTATTACAGTTTTAGTTTATATATTAATAATGTTAGTTGTTTAATTTTATTAAATAATCTTAAGATTACAAGGTTAGTGGTTAGAAAGTGTTATTTTTTAGGCGCTATTACTGCTTTAGTATTACTATTTAATTACTATATTACTATTTAATTTTTAAGCTAATACAATCACAGGTTCTTTTTATCCATTGAAGAAGGAAAGTTCAGAATTGTGATTCACAAATGCACATGATCATTTTGTGTATACATTCTTATTGCTTAGTGTAAATAATTAAAAATAAATTCTTATTCAAGATGATTTAGTTCTGACTTCTGACATTTTTATACAATTCTGGTACTTTCCTGTAATAGAAATTAATAGTAAAATAAAATTTTAGTTTTCTAAATTTATCTTATATTTTTGTATCTTTAATTTTTCAAATTTGCTTATTAATTGGACAATTATAAACTTTAATGAAAGATAGGTTTTTTCTTGAATAAAAATATATTTATTATAAATAAAAATAATGAATATAAACTGATTAAAAAAATCTGCTGTGTTCACTCACACTACTTTCCTATCTATTTCAGAAAAGTTTTTATATCTTTAAATATGTTCATTAAGAAAAAAAAATTGGATTAGTTTATTTTCCTGAAAATTGATAAAAGAAAAAAATTATGTACAATTTCTTTGTAACCGGCTTGTGGAAGATCATGTAAAAAATTCAATACACTCTAATATTGCTAATCAAAAGCTTTTTAATAGCCCAATTTTGTCAGACAATAATAATTAATAAGTTAAAAGTAGAGGTAATAGTGAAACTTGTGTGATGCGGGCACTACATTTTTTTACTTTCACTTACTTTTCTTTTTTCTCTCTGTTTCATATCTTTCTGGCATCTGGATTTAAACTCATAATGTAACATGCGAAATTGAATAGCTGTTTCTTCCTTAATAGTTGTCCGAAATGAACAATTTTTATATAGTTTTGAAGGAAATTTTATCACCTTTCAAA